TGGTTTACTCCTGTACTTTGCATCATGAAGGTTGCAGGTCGACGCCTTGAACGCCTGTATAAGAAAACTGGTTTAAGTGTACATCTCACTGCTTACAAGAGCCACATTCAGTTATATAAATCTGCAGTTAAAATAAATTAACTTTAAAAAAACAAACAAAAAAAAAACAGAAACTCTGAGTTGGAAAAAGGATCACCCCCCTACTAAAAATGACTTGTAAACTATTTGGTATTTGGTACAACAGACTCTACCTGGATCAGGACATCGCTCCAAACTGGATGAAAGAGCCAGGAGGAGAGAGGCTACCAAGAGGCTTACAGCATCTCTGAAGCAGTTACAGGAATTTATGACAAAGAGTGGTCATTGTGTGTGCTGCCCTCTGCCAGAAAGTTGTCAATGGGAAGAAGGTTTACCTTCCAACATGACAATGACCCAAAGCACACAGCAAAACTGACCACACAGTGGTTGAAGGAGAAAAAGGTGAATGTCCTTGCATGGCCTATCAGACACCGCTGAAAATCTGTGGAATGACTTGAAGACTGCAGTCCACGAAACGGTCACCCTCAAATTGAACTGAACTTTAGCAGTTCTGCAAAGAAGAGTGGGCAAATATTGCAAAGTCTAGATGTGCAAAGTTAGTAGAGACATATCCCAAGAGACTAAAGGCTGAAATTAAAGCAAAAGGTGGTTCAACAAAATACTGACACAAGGCGGTGATCCTTTTTTTCGACTTTTCGACTGGGGTGGTACTGGACACTGGGTAGTTAGTGACTGGAGCTCTGTGACCACGTGGCCAAGAGAGGGAACTCGGTGACCATTAAGCCATGATGTTACCCCAGATGTTAATGCCACTGCCGTTTATTTGGGGGCAGTGGCACTAACATATGGGGAGGCCATTTGGATCCTTTGTGATCTGGATGGCCTGAGAAGGAGAGAGATTTTGGACTGGGGTGATGTTGATCACGGGCTAGTTTCTCTGGGACCAGGACTCTGTGACTGGGAGGCTGAGATAGACAGCTCTGGGGCTGGTGCAGCTGAGACAGCAACTCGTGGAATAAACCAACTGTGACAAAGAACTCTGAAGTTGCCCTAAATGTTAATGTCACTGCCATTGGGGCTCTGGGGCTGGTGCAGTCGAGATGGAAGCTCAGGCAGCAGCCATAAAATGAGCTCTTTGGGCAGCCAACACAGCAACTTAGGGACTGTGACAGAGAACTCTGATGTTACCCCAGATATTAATGCCATTGCCATCTCTTTGGGGGCAGTGGCATTAACACCTAGGGAGGCCAGCTGGATCCTGTGGGATCTGGATGGCCAGAGAGAGCGCATTGGACTGGGGATGCAGTTGGCCACTGGCTAGTTTCTCTAGGAGCCAGGATCTGTGACAGGAAGGCTGAGCTCTGTGGCTGGTGTAGTCGAGATGGCAATTCACGGACCAAGCCAACTGTGACAAAATACTCTGAAGTTGCCCTAGATATTAATGCCACTGCTGTCTCTTTTAAAGTGTGAAAGTGAAAGTGACGTGACATGTGGCCAAGTACTCGGAATTAGAGAGAGAGAGAGAGATCTCTTGAACTGGCACCAGTTAGGTGGCAGCCATTAAAGGAAGGTCTAGGCCTGAGGCAGCCAAGACAGCAACTAGGTGACCAAGCCAGCCATGATTAAGAACTCTGATGTCACCCCAGATTTTAAAGCCTCTTTGGTGGCAGTATCATTAACATCTGGGGAGTCCATGATTGGACCATCTGGGATCCAGACCGCTGGAAAGAGAGAGAGAGCGAGAGGACAGGGTTGCCTTTGGGTGTTGGCTACATCCGTGTCTCCACCTCTGTGGTGACCATGACAAGCACTCTGGAACCAAAGCAGTCTGAGGCAGGCAGCTTTGGGACTGGCATGGTCAAAGTCAAAAATTCTGGAAGAGAGTTGTACTTGGACACTGGTTTTCTCTAGGGGCATGAAAGGAACATCTGGATCAGCTGTGAAAGGAGCATCCCCAGGGGTTCCTGTCATATTAATGACCCTATTTTACAGTGTCTCCTCCACATCTGCAACCTGAAACAGAAGCAGACGTCACGTTTATTGTCTAAATATACTACTTTTAGGACATATACAGTACTTGGTCAACTTAAGTTTTTACAATAGATAAAGGCTCGATACCTTAAACCATTCGTGGAGGAGGATCTTGCCTAACTGAATCTGCTGTCAGGATTACACGGCAGGAGACAGCCTCTCAAATGACAGCTTTCAGTACAAAAATATAGGAGAGATGTCTGATTACATTCATCTTCACATATTCTCTGTTTAATAACGTTATTCTCAGTGATGAGAATGAATTTTGTATGATTCAGAATTATAACTCGCCATTTAGCTCTGATAAAGTGCTCACCTTTTGATAAACCATCTTTGGACCAGAGGTTTGCCTTGATGACATCCGGTTCATTGTTGGATTAATAATCTCCACACACCAGTGCACACAGAAGAAACCACACTGTCACTGGCTTGCCATGGTACGTTCCCTCCATTGTGTACTTAGGGGGGGGGGCAGTACAGATCTGTGCCGTAAGGAAAGAGATTTGGTCTGATGTGCACGTTTGCGTTACAAAAAAGGTTTGATGCTCCTATCTTGATACAAGGTATTGAGAAGAAATTGAGATAATACATACATAAACAAATGATATGGCGAGTTTGCAAGGAGATCACCACACCCAAAGTCGATCAGCTTCACTTCAAGGGCATCCTGGTTAAATGGCAGATTCTAGTTTGATATCGCAGCACGCAGTGAAAGCAGTGTGGGTTGCCTGCCCCATGACAATCCACGTCATTGAGGCCCCCTCCATGGCACTCCACAACACCAAAGAGGTGTTGACCAAACTCTAAGACCATGATGTAATCATCAGGTCGATCCTGCTAGTCCAAGAGCTTGATGATCTCAGAAACCCTGGGACCTTCACTGGCAGGAATCATCAGGGCTACTACATCAGGGTTTGGGATGACCCGGCTAAAAGACACTTTTTTGGTACTTAGCTGGAGGTGGTTTACCAATTAGGCCATTCTTAAACAGACCACTGACAATGGCTGTTTAACTATTGAAAAAACATTTGTAGTTTAAAGTTTATGTTAATATATTTTAAACTGAAAACAGTGACCAAGACGAAAAAAAAAAAAAACAGAGAGCACAGCCTACTTACAATGGTGGTATACACCACATTCTCCGTCTTTGTAACAAATTTCACTGCTACATGAGGAACAAAACAAAAAACAGGAATTTCTGTACGGTTTCACATAAAGTTTCACAAATTTTAATTCCAGGCATGATTTTAAAATTATGCATGTTTACAGGCCAAGTGCTTTAATCAGTGGATGACACTAAGAGGGTTTGTAAAAGATAGAGTAATATATTACAAGGATGACGATAAGACTAAACAACTTGCTATCTAGATAATGTTAGCAAAAAAAAAAAAAAGAGAAAAAAGAAAGAAAAAAAGAAACTTTGGGGCCATCTTCCAAACGACTCCCATTATACACTGCTCCAAAACCTCCTTCGCCCAGCAAAATTTCCCCAATTTCATTACGACGGGAATTGATGGCTGTTAAAAGATAAATATGTATAGTCGGCAAAAAAAAAAGTCAAGCAGTCCAGAAGAGGTTTTATCAAGAATGTGTATGTTGTGGCAGTAAACAGACTCAGAATTCTCATCTCCACTTTCATATCATTCTCCAAATACACAAGATCCTCTATTGTTGTGATTGGAGTCTGACACAGATTGGGCTGGAGGTTGGAAGATGTCGACACTCCAATCTGGTGTAGAAGGTGCTGGAGTATAGGGAATGTCGATGCTCCAATCAGATGCAAATCGGACTGTTGGCATGTCAGTCAGATGCAGATTGGTCGGGAGTCGGGGAGGACGCTGTTGCTTCAATCATGTTCAGAGCAGACTGGAACATGGAGGACATTATCATCATCCTCAGGTTGGTCAATCGGGAGAACATTAGGGTCATCTGCCACCTCTAATGAGAAATGTCCCCTCCAAAACCTTTTCTTCTTTTTAATGGTGTCCTTCTTCCTTCCTCTTTCTTTTTTTACCATCCACATCCTCCTCTCCAACACTAACTGGATGTGGATTGTTTTCCACTTTACTAGTGGGAGATTGTGGTGGTGTACCTTGAAGGTATTTGTACATGCTGCCACAATCCTTTATTGCTGGTTTACAACATGAATTGAGTTGCCCATATTCGCTACTGTTAGTGAGCTGCAGAATGAGCAAAGTGAAGATTTTTTGCCCTTACATGCTTTCACATTTATTATGATGTCACATTATAGAACCCTCTGCAAAATTCTGTGACTTCCAGTTTATGACCATGTGTTTCTATGTTAATATCGGGAGAAATTTTCAATGTCAGTACACCCCATTGACCCGTTCCACTGTGTGGGTGCAGTAGCGTGTTTAGGCACCACACAAGTGCATGGGGCCCCGCCGCCCAGGGGTCCTCCCCAGAACACAATGTCTACCGAGGGACTGCATTTTGTGCTGTTGCCTCATTTCTGCTTAGACTGACAATTAATACAAACACAGGTAATTAAAGTACTTGACTTAGTTGTAAGAAGGAGTCAAAACTATTAACCTCACATAAAAACAAATAAATGAATAAATAAATAAACAAATAAACAAACATAAAAGGCACATACTTGAAGTCATGCAGACCTGGGTTCTTTCATTTAGCAGTTCATAATGCCAATGTGGAAACACTTAAACTAAAGCTCGGACTCCCAAAGATCGGATTTATGGAGACTGAGCAAATGGTTCATCAGAGATTCCTTTAATGTTAGTCTTATCTTCAGTACAAATGCATACACATCAACTTCAGCTAAAATCACAGAATTACTATTTCAATAAACATCACAATACAAAAACAATGCTGGTCTTCAAGCAAGGAAGAGGTACATTCACCCAACACACACACACACACACACACACACAGATATCCAACATCCACGCAGATTTTTACTAAAAGCACAAATGCCTATACAAACAAGCCAGCATTACTTAGTATAAATATTCTTCATCCAAAATCAGTGCAGCACCTTCTTCATCCGTTTTTCAGGCTTTATCTGGTCTTTTAACACCTGGTCAAAATTACGCATTGGGCTTTCTGACAAGAAGCCCAATAAATCTTCGCAGTATTCAAAGAATGTTCTTTTTTTATCAATGTTTTATTTTGTTACGTTGTACCTCAAAGGTCCAGCTGTGAAGTACAGGTCAATGATTCTTTGTTCCTTAATAATTTTAGAGATAAAAAAAATGGCGTAAAACATTCTTTGACAAGTGGTTCAGTTTTCTTTTGTGGTGTTTTCCTTTTTGAAAAAGTCTTTCGGTGAACTTGATCTATTGGATTCCCCTGAACAAACACATGGCGAACACCATTGCGAAAAGCTGTTTAGAAAAGAAACACAAACATCTTATGTAGATTCATATGAAAGGAAACAAACAATTATGAACCATTCAAACAGTTTTGCTTATTTTAGTTATAAAAAAAATTCATAGAGAAAGATTCAATCTTAAGGGCCCCTCACATGTTAAAAAAACATCTACTCAAACTTCATTCAGCTTCTCTGCTTAATTGAAATGGTTCCTTTGATTAATTTAATTTGTATGTACAGCATGATGATTTTAGGTGACCGTGATTTCACCAAGTACAACATCCTTGTTGATCCTGGAACAACATTCCAATTAACCAATCAGAATTAAGGGATAGCTTTTCAGGAAATATCTGTTTTAGGCTTACGATCAGGGTTAGGTGCTTCTACACCCTTGTTAATCAGCTATCATTTCACACTGATTTTAGGAATAAATTATGGGTAGGGTTAGGTTTAGGGGTAGGGATTGGGTTCAGTCTATATTTTTGGACAGTAATGTTGATCCAGGATCAACAAAAGATGTCTTACTTGGCAAAATCACGGCGACCATGATTTTACTCGAGTGAAGTCACTCCATTCAGCTGTCTACCTCCAGCACATTACCACATGAGGGCAGCAGTGATTCAATTTAAAGGACTAACTCGGTTCTGTTCAACTCAAACTCGTGTATCTGTGGTCATTCTCTCAAGATCTGTTCCATCTTTAACAGTTTTAAACAAATTCTCTGAGATAATATCAACGGAGCAGACATTATGTAATACCTTACCTCGATCGTGAGTACAACAATAGCCAGGGCACCAGCAACATAGATGTACATCTCAAAGTAGTCCACAACCGCTGAATAGCAGCCCTGCCGATCCAAACAGAAAGAAAAACATTTTAATTTGTACAATTTTGTGAAATGATGCCATTATCTACTCACCTATACATGTTGTCTGTAAATCTCAAAAAACAAAAAAAGTGACGCAAATAAACACCTAGTAGTGCATACGACTTGTGCACTATATTCAGCTGTGACTAGTTCATTGAGTTTGAATTAGTGAATGAATCATTGCTTTCCATTAGTTCTATTCAGTTAGAGCTTTTTGTAGGTCTTTTCAAGTTTTCAGACTTCTCACAAGCAACAACGGATCATATTTTCTTTTATACTTTCGAACAATTGCTCACTCTCACTTAAAACAAAACCAACCAACATTTAAATCTCTTAATAGAACAATACAGCTGAACAATTGGTATGTTGTTAAACAATAGTACAATCTAAATCCAGAGGATCACTAAGGCATTAGACATTCAAGTATGACTTTTGATACGGCTGCTTTGAATCAATGTGTATTGTGAAAAGTGCTACGCAAATAAATTTTGACTTCACTTGCGACTTGAATGATTTGAACTAGACTGGTCAATTTGATCAAGAATCAAACGGACTCAATGATCTGGTCTCAAATTAACAGCTCACTGAAGGAGAAGATTATCATTAAACAATGATTCAACAATGAGCCTGTTCTTCACACAAAGCTATCAAATGACTCCAGATGACTTCAAATATAGCTCACAAGTCATATGGACGATTTTTATAGTGTTTTTTTTCTTAATTATGAAGTTAAACAGCTGTGAAGTGTGTGAAGATTTTTTTCAAAACAACACATTTTGCATTTCACAGATACAGTCATAAGGGTTTGGAACGACATGAGTAAATGACAAAATTTTCCCAACACATAATTATCAGAAGAAAATCTTGTTCTTTAGTAAGTTCACATGAAGTATGCATGACTAGAGGACAACCCATGCGGACTCTCACTTAAGTTTTACTGCCCCTGCTCGCTTTCACAGAAACTCTCACACACGCTCACATTCCCCAGACACTGAGAACATGGAAAAGCACTAGTCAGCACTGAGGCAGCTGAAGCAGAGTGGTAACACTATTCCTCTTTTCCTGTTTTCTGCTCTAGTTAAATTTGAGCTATGAGCTTTTGAGCAGGCAGAGGGGATGTGACGTATACAACAGTATGAGAGCCCACCTTGTTGTTCCGGTACAGCATGCTGCCTGACAGGCATTCCTCCCTGTTACTGAAGCCTACTTCTACGAGATGATTATTCCTACGGCAGCAGGCCTCGGGCACCACTTCACCGGGGTTTATAAACCTGAAGATGCTTTCCTCAAAGTCTTCTGGACTGTTCACTCCACAGCAGTCAAACTAGAGGAACGCAGAGACAGGTGAATATGAGTTAAAATAAGCTCATTTTTGGCTTGGTGTCCATGTTTTTTTTTTTTTGATGGGTTAAATAAGTTTGGTAAACGGTGATTCACAGTAGCTGATGTTTGAGGAACAAACAAGACCTACTGTATTCATAATGGCGTTCCACGTTGATGTGAAGACATCAGTGTTGTTGTAGCCTTGGTAGTACCTCTTCAGTTCCTTAGTGAAGTATTCTCTAGTCAGCTGCACACCCATGCACAATATATATATATTTTTAGAGATATTAGCCGCACACAGAACACATAAATCTGTCTCAACATGTTGGACATGGTCACTCACATGTTCCCGGAAGATGAAGGCAAGAATGGCTGCCGCCAGCTCTGCCAGGAATATAATGAGGATCAGCATGAAGAACTGAAGAGAGATGCGGATTTTGTCAGTGTTTGGGTCAAACAACCGTATTTACTAACTTACCGAATGCTGTCTGTATGAATAACTGAAGCTGAATGTAGTTAGCACTATGAAACAGGACTGGCTATTCTGCTAAACTGTAATTTGCTACACTCTTAAAAATAAAGGTCGAAAAAATGGGCTTTCGCAACAATGCCATAAAAGAATCATTTTGTGTTCCCCAAAAAACCTTTCAGTGAAGAGTTCTTAAAAGAACCATTCCTTTCTTGTAACCTATGTGACAGCAGCTTTACTAAGTGTTATTGAAACATAACATCCTCTCCAATATACTGTGACTCACAAAAAGCAGCAAACACTTGTTTTCTCGTATGGCTCCGCAGCAGCCCAGGAAGCCCAGCAGGAAAAGCATGCCCCCCATGGCCAGGATGATGTAGACGCCCGTGAAGAGAAGGGGGTTGGCGGCCACTATCTCCCTAAAACCTGTGGGGTCCACCACCACCCATACCCCAACACTAAGGAGGAAGGAGCCACCCAGCTGTGGAGATTAGGAGATAAAGAAAGAAGCCATTTAAGATTACTACATTACCGTTTGTGCCATTTTTCACTTTTCTACATAAATTGAAAAAGAAATACATTTCTTCTCATTATCCTGACAAGCTAAATTTAATTTTAATACATTTATTTAAACTTATACAGTATATACAGTAAAATTAGGGAGGTTTACCAAGGCTAGATAAAGGAGCTATAGTGACAGGGCAACATTATCACCATATGCAAATAGTTTGATGCATTAAAACATTTGGGAGTAACATTTAAAGGCATCCCGGAGCACAATTATAGCTGAAATATATTTAGACTTTTTCTAAGTATAAGTCAAGTATACTTAAATGTCATTTTAAGTATATTTCTGAGAAGTACATAAAGCCAATTTCCGAGAAGTACATAAAAAGTAGACTAAAAGTATACTTTCCTATTTTTAGTTTAAAAGAAGTATACTAATAGCACACTTGAATAAACTTCTTTTTCGTAAGGGATAGTTCACCCCAAAATTAAAATCATCATTTACTTACCCTCGTGTCATTCTAAACCTGTATGTTTTTTCTTCTGTGGAACACATTATGAAAAATGTCTCAAAATGCTCTTTTTGTCCATACAGTGGAATTCAATGGTAACCATAACTTTGGTTTGGTTACCAACGTTGTTTAAAATATCTTCTTCTGTGTTCTACTGGATTTGGAACAACATGAGGGTGAGTAAACAATGAATTTTGGGTGAACTATCCCTTTAGGTAAACATTTAATAACTTGTTCAGTAAATGATGCTAAAATGTTGGTCCAGGCATATGAATCTCAAATGAATCTTAATTGTAAATAGAACAGTTAACATGAAGCCACTTCACACACCCTTCACAACATCCAAAATAATCGCCTACCAATTATAGAAACAATTTATTACAGTTCAGACATTTTGCATTCTTTTCATGGGGGTTTAAGACTCTTCAACAAAGGAAAATTTTTCAGGACATCAGGAAAATATATACATTAGTATTTTCAGCATAAATGTCCAAAAACATGCCATTACCATGGTATGTGTCTAGAAAAACAAGGTATGTTTTGGTATTTGTTTAAAGACGTACTACACCTTCAAAACAACCGAACGTAACACTTAGCAAATTCTTAAAACAGCTCAAAAATTCTACTAATGGCACAAAATAAAATACACTCTTACATTCAAGACACATTTTGTGAAAGCAATATCCACTAATAAAATAACAATTTTTAAACTGAAAATCAAAAACTAATGATGGCTGATTATTTTGCAGTGCAGGATTAATGAAAATTATTGTGCACCACAAATTGCTGAGTTGTACGCACATTACTTGGTAAAGTGAACACAAACGTTAACGTGCCACTGAGAAGAGAGAGAATACTAATGGGTTCTACTGCTGAAAAGAAATAATTATTGGTAAACGGCTACTGAAAGTGAACGCTTCCAGAGAAGAGGGGGAAGGTGAATGGATAGAGGAGCATAAGGAGTTTTAACACAGCGAGTCAAAGACAGTCGAGTGGGGGCTGGGAAATGCTGCTGTTTCTTTGGCAGTTCCCACAATCCTCTACCTGTCAAAGTGATACCCTTCCTCCATACAATCGTTCATAGTCACACACACACACACAAATGAAGGTTTGAGCAGACACCAGACTGGTGATTAAGCAGCTCAAGAAGCATGTGTGTGTGTGTGTGTGTGTGTGTGTGTATGGGTTTGTGTGGTGGGTTTTGAGATAAGAGCCTCACACAAAAACATGTTGCTCAGTCTCTCTGCCTAACCAGCCAAACCTGGGATTCTTTTCATGGATGGCATTAGCAATGTGTCTGTCAAGCGGAGTCCTGTCACAGCAGCTATTTTTGTCATAAACAGCTTGACTGTATCACTAAATTGGTGTTTTAATAGTTTTTAGGGTTGATTAAATATGAGAAGCTGTTTCTGGCTTGTTAAATGGATTTTAGAGAATTATATTAGCTTTTTTTTTTTAAAGAAACAAGCTATTTTATTGTTAGCATTGCACTTACGTGTGTACATCACATCACATTCTTGCTGTTGGGAGATAATTAATTCAGTCAAACGAAATGAGTCCAAATCTTTCTCTGTCTATGCCAATCCCACAGTGGGCATTTATGTTGTCAACCACACCAGACTGGTGATTAAGCAGCTCAAGAAGCATGTGTGTGTGTGTGTGTGTGTGTGTGTGTATGGGTTTGTGTGGTGGGTTTTGAGATAAGAGCCTCACACAAAAACATGTTGCTCAGTCTCTCTGCCTAACCAGCCAAACCTGGGATTCTTTTCATGGATGGCATTAGCAATGTGTCTGTCAAGCGGAGTCCTGTCACAGCAGCTATTTTTGTTATAAACAGATCCCATAAACAGCTTGACTGTATCACTAAAGTTGTGTTTTAATAGTTTTTAGGGTTGATTAAATATGAGAAGCTGTTTCTGGCTTGTTAAATGGATTTTAGAGAATTATATTAGCTTTTTTTTTTTAAAGAAACAAGCTATTTTATTGTTAGCATTGCACTTACGTGTGTACATCACATCACATTCTTGCTGTTGGGAGATAATTAATTCAGTCAAACGAAATGAGTCCAAATCTTTCTCTGTCTATGCCAATCCCACAGTGGGCATTTATGTTGTCAACCTAGACAGATGATCAAAGAAGCACTTTCTGTCTCTTCCCTTTTTCTCTTCCTGAATCTTCCCCTCTTTTGCTTTGAAATGTTTAAACAAGTAGCTGTTATGCTACACATTTGTGAATCATAATAGTCTACAGGCTAGATTTTGGGGGAAATATAAAGTCAAAGCATACCTTAGTGAAAAAGAAAGTACACTTTAATATACTTATTACGTAAATAATATACTTAATATGAACTGAATGTAATGTTTTCAGACAATTGCATGTTAACTGCAATTAAATGAAAATGTATTATAGTTCAAATTTATATTAAAAACAATTAGTTAGTCCACTTAAATAGGACTTAAGTACATCTTTATATGTATTTTCATAATTACTTCTGTTGTCTTTGAAATACAGTTAAAGTGTACTGATGATTGTACTGACATGCATTTATGGTAAACTAAAAGATGCTATAATTTCTATTGAAACGTGTATGTCATGTATTCAAATATATTTGTAAGTACACATTTGTAACTCACAGAAACTTAATTTGCTGTAAAGTTGCTTTGCAATGATTTGTATCGTGAAAAGCGCTGTACAAATAAATAAATAAAACTTAATGTTGAATTTGCAATTTAACACATTTAAAATATATTAACTTTAAATGTAATATCAAATAACATACTAGAGTACATGTGCTTTAGTATATCAGTCAACACATTTATTTCAATTTTATTTTAACTACATTTATTTGATCAAAAATAAAAAAGTAAAATTCTGAATTATTGCAATTTAAAAGTTTATTTTGCAAGTTTATGTTTTTTTTTTAATTCCTTTGATGGAAAAGTTGAATTTGCAGCAACCATTAATCCAGTCTTCAGTGTCACATGAACCTTCAGAAATCATTCTAATGCTGAAATCATACTAATAATTTTGTTATTTTTATTTCTCATTTCGTATTATTATCAATGTTAAAAACAGTTATGCTGCATAATTTTTTTGTGGAATCTGTGATACAGGGTTCTTTGAATAATAGAAAGCTCAAAAGAACAGCATTTTTTAAAATATAAATATTTTGTAAATTTAATCAATGTAATAAAATATTACATTTTAATTCTTAAGTATTAATTAATTAAGAAAATAATTAATTTCTTTAAAAAATGATGAGGACAGAGGTAAAATATCAATTAGTCTTAATAGTCTAACTTTTCAGGGTTAAGTTGATTCACTTGGCGGCCATCTTGGTAGCATTCACAAGCAGTTACTGGTCCAGCTAAAGCACATTCTAAAGTAAATAAACTCTATCAAACAAGTGACTGGATGCTCTAAATGAAAGGCAAAACTTCTATTCATTTATTCACCATATTAAGCAAGAAGTTTCTCACATTCAGTTCTCTATGAGTTGTCTATTTATTTCCCTTTATACTCTGGTAGATCAAATGTGAAGTGTATGTCAAGGTCTGACAGATAAATACTCACAAAGATAAGGAAGTTGAAGACAAACATGAGGTACTTGATGCAGCTGAGGCAGTCTCCTTCCATGCTTGTCCCCCTCGCTGAAGCCTCCCCGAGCCCCTTGGAAGAAAAACAAACATAGCATCATCTCTGAACTTAATCAGAAAAACTCACAAACGAGCCTTTCATCTACATACTGACACTCAGCAAAAAAACATTTGTATTAAAGCGATCTAACTTAAGAGGTTCATGCAGTTTGTACCACATTGAAGATGAAGAAATACTAGCATCAAAAAAGGCTTTTCAGCTAAATCCTGTATTCAAAGTGCATTCAAACAAGGTGAATTCAGGGTTCCCAAGTGCATAATAAAACAGCCATACTATATTTTTTAAAGGCACAGCCTCCCTTTTAGTGTAATTAATGATGAGAGGCTCTTGTGTTTCAGCAGACCATCCCTCTACCTGAAAAAGCACTCTCTGGGATGAAGGCCTATTACGGCACCACTTTCCTTAAATTAAATGGGGCCTTTTTCATTAGTTCTAGGCGAGTGCTAACAGCCAGCACTAGCAGAGCTACCCTACCATTACTCAGACAGCACAGAGAAGGTGTATTACATGAGGGTGTCATCCTTAAATACATGTTTGAGTGCAACCTTATCTCGCTGTGCAGTGCTAATACCACAAGTCTTCTTGCAAACAACAATACACGATGGATCACAAGCATTATTAATAGATATAGTAATCATAGCAGTGAGAACTCTGTAGAGGAACGAGGCTGAGGGAAAATCACTTGTGTGTTGACTTGGAGCCATAAATAGAATGTGGCTTGATGACACTAACCATGACCTTTCTTTTTGAAAGGTCATGGTTTCTTTTTGAAAGGTCATCCCTCCCCCCTCCTTCTTGTTTTCTTTGTATTTTCCTATCTTGTCAGATGCTGTCCCATTATGCTCTGGCAAAACTTTCTCAAAAGAGGTTTTAGGCTCGCCCAGTGTTGTTTTTTGGCTCACCCTGTATCACCCAAAGTGGTTTCCTAGAGCTCTATGAATCTTTATTGAGGAGATGAGTCTGTATCTGCCAAAAATGGAATCATCTACAGCAGGGGTTTAAAAAAACGGAACTGGAAGGGGGTCCAGGGAAAATTTAAGTAGTATAGAGAGAGAGAAAGAAAGAAAAAAAGTATTTATAATGTATTTGTATGTATGTATGTATATTTGTATATATATGTTTATCTATATTTACATAATTTAAAAATACATATTTTTTAGAGTTGTCAAAGTTAACATTAAGTTAACTTTAAGTTTTTTTTTTCTGTTTTAAACTTTTATATGTATTACATTAGTCTAATAATGACCAAAGACAGGAGAAAAAAGATACAGTACACTGTCAACATAAAAAGTAAGTATTCTCCAGATAATATTGTAATCATTTGATTCAGGATTAAAACAGTGACAATTTAAAACCCCATTATTTAGTTTAGGAAACAAAACAAAATTTATTTACTATAATATGACACTTAAGTACAAACAGGTCTTTAAACATTCGGAGGGCCCTATTATCAAAAGTGTCAGCAAAGTGCTTATAGCACCCTCAGGGCAATTTGTGTTTTAATTACCCTCATTCTTAATAAAGGCCAAACCAGGGGGTTTTAATTAGGGTTGCATAGATTAAAGCTTTCATTAGCAGCATCTGATGATCTCTCTTTTATCATTTGATATGTTCTTTGCAGGTCGGCAAAGCCATTAGCAGCTGGACGTGGGAGTGTGAGCCGAGAACAGCGTAAAAGCTTTAAAAAAGTGATCCTGCAAAATTTGGATCCACATCTGAGAAGGCGTTTCTCTGGTTTTGTGTAAAAACTTCAGCATGATGCTTAGCTTGCTGAGTACAAGAAACCAACACACACTCCCAGTTGGAGCTCACTGGTGTAAAGCTTCTTGGATCCCAGTATAAATCAAACTGCCTGCGGATCGGAGCTGGCTCTGGAGAATGTGCAGAATAAACAGGGTATTTTTCCCAAGACTCCCACAGCACTGCAGTCATCATCAATCAAACACACACATAGCTACATATAACAGAAAGGTCTGCAGTGAAACTACACGCTCGTTGCAGCACATTTATGCAGTCCAAAGAGCTTCAGTGGTGAAAAACACGCAAATCCAACAACACGATCGAGACTGATTTGTGTTTAGCTCATTATTCCAAAGCCTGGGGTCTCTGATTATGAGACCAAAAGCACAGTGTGGTTGTTTAAGTTCCATGAATTGTCTTTGTAGTCTCATATACAACAAAAGCAGAGACACATTCATCAAAAGTGCAGAAATATCTGAAGCAAAGCAAAAGTGAGGCCAGATCAACAGCATGGGTGTATATGAAAGAGACTGTTGCTTGTTCTCTCACAGACATTAGATGACATGTAAACAGTCAGCACCCACAGAAAGAAAGAAACAAACACACCCTACCCACACTTTCGATTAAAACTAAACCCATACAACACTTCATGTGATCAATTCACTGCTATACAATAGCTAACATCACAAAATCTTCTATTTTTATTTTACTGACCTACAATCTACAGGAAAAGTTATTCTAGTTTAATATTTCCTGTTTGCATGACTTTTTCAGTCTGTGAAAAACAGCAGACATACCATCTCAAATTAACAGCAAAAATGTAGATAAGAACCTTACATTTGGATGGGAATAATTTTCAGAAATGTGTTATAGATTCACAACTTCAATAATGATCCCTTCACTGCATAAAGATTCCCAAGTAGAGGTCAATTGTAAGGCACTCATTAGTGCAATTGTTTTTCACCCATGTTATCTTCGCATTTCTGCAATACAGAGATAGAATGCTTATGCAAATCAGTTTTTATGTGCCAACAATATTTTTGTTTTCATTCTCTTTAAACTTTGCACTTCTGCAATTCTGTATACTTATGCAAATCAGATTTTCTCTTTCTGCTAAGAATATTTCCTTAAATAAAACAATGGCATATTACAATTATTTTGAGGACTTGAATATTTATGCAGTATGCACTTTTCCTGTATTGAGTGAAAACAGAATGTTGGAAGAGGTGTGCTATTATTTTCCTATGCATTTACAATTTTTTTAAGCCTGTTTTGGTGTACTGTTTTTGTGTTGAAGCAGGTTATGAGAAGGAGGGGTAGATCAACTCTAATAAAATACAAAATAATACAAATAATACTCATTAATACTCTTTAAATTTTCCTAAATAATATTTGAATCAGCAGTTAAAATCATTTTGGAAAATTCTAATATTACTACTTATTGTTTAGGTAGTAATGTTGTTTTGAAACAACACCAGTGTTTATGGTAACTGTAAACTGTAAAATGACCATAAAATAATGATTAAAAAAACTTTACAGTTCAAAAAATGCAGTTTTAACAAAAGCATTGCTTTAGAAAATCATAAACCTCACATTTCAGCCTTTAAACCATTTTTTAAGAAAAGAGACAAGGGAAAAGACAAAATTATAATATATTATGTATTTCATTTTTCAAATGGAAGAAGGGCAAAATGAAGATGCTAATTCCCTCTCTGAGAGTAGAGTGAATTTGCCCCAAAACACATACAAATAAAAACCTCCGTGGAATTTTAAAGTATTGTATAAATGGCCTATTTCAATATCAGAATTATGAATTTGTAGGTATACATGGGCCAGTAAGCAATTACCCTAGAAACTAGATACCACCCAGAACACCCTAGCAACCACATAGCAACAACCACAACGCCCTAGCATTGTTGCTGAGAGTTCTACAAAGGCAATTACCACTCACATATTGAAAAAAAAATAAAAAATTGAATTTGCAGGCTAAAAGTCACTCATCCTCGCTGAGGTCTTCCTTTTGAAAACCACACTTTTTTAAACAAATAGGTTGAAGAGACTCTCCTTAAAGTTGATACTTTTAACTTGATTAATCCACTGTCTGCTTTAGTCATTCTTATGCTGCTAACTGGGACAAGATCATTAGCTGAAGGACAAGGACAGTGTGTGCTGGTCAGCCTTCCCCCATCAGCCATGAGCTTGCATACTTTCATTTTTCAAATGGAAGAAGGGTAAAACGAAGATGCTAATTCCCTCTCTGACAGTAGAGTGAATTTGCCCCAAAACACATACAAATAAAAACCTCCGTGGAATTTTAAAGTATTGTATAAATGGCCTATTTCAATATCAGAACGATGAATTTGTAGGTATACATGGGCCAGTAAGCAATTACCCTAGAAATTAGAAACCACCCAGAACACCCTAGCAACCACATAGCAACAACCACAACGTCCTAGCATTGTTGCTGAGAGTTCTACAAAGGCAATTACCACTCACATATCCTTCAGAAAATGAAAAAAAAAAATCGAATTTGCAAGCTAAAAGCCACTCATCCTCGCTGAGGTCTTCCTTTTGAAAACCACACTTTTTTAAACAAATAGGTTGAAGAGACTCTCCTTGAAGTTGATACTTTTAACTTGATTAATCCACTGTCTGCTTTAGTCATTCTTATGCTGCTAACTGGGACAAGATCATTAGCTGAAGGACAAGGACAGTGTGTGCTGGTCAGCCTTCCCCCATCAGCCATGAGCTTGCATACATAAAGAGCAATATAGCATGAAACACAGGATTCACAAGAGTAGTGAACTTCCTCACCCTCAGTGAATTAGATGACTCCTAATTGTTCTTTTCAATGCACAGCTTGAGCAGCTAGTGACAAATACGCTATGTCTGTGTGAGAGAGTGTGTGTGTGTGTGTGTGTGTGTGTGTGTGTGTGTGTATCAATAGTGCTCCATTCAAGAAAATTCAGCAAATCAACTTTTCTGTGTACATTTTTTTAATGCATGTGAAACTGGAAAACATTCTAGCTGTGTTAGGGGAAGAGGTATGACAGCATGGTCTACCCAGCAGGCATATATAGTTTCTTTAATGAACCTCCAATTAGGGCAGAATAAGTCACATGATTCTCAGCTTTGAAGTCTGCATAAGTTAAAGCAGTTACAGCATGTTCATGAAGAGACCAGGTACCTCACATGTATCAGGGAACATAGTAATGACTAACTGCCATATATGGCTGTATAATTAATGAAAACTTCAGCCTATAATGAGCCTA